AATAAAGTTTGTGGAGATCAAAAGGACTGTGCTTGCATTTACTGTATCGACCTTTATTCAAGATCTAAGCCCGGAAAAGGCTGGTTGGGGTGCTTACAATGTTCGCTTTGGGCTCACGCTTCTCGCGCCAATATTCCAAGAAGAACTAAGCATTTTATTTGCGAATTATGCCAATGATTTTGTAGCTAATTATATGTATGTCATTTTGTCCATTAGCAATATGTCATTTTGTCCGAAGCATATGGAAAAAATGAATTATGATTGACCTCAGTTAAATGTATTTTATTTTTTTTTGGAGATTTTCTGCTAAAAATGTTAATTACTGGATTTTTCCCAACACCAACCCGTTATTTTAACACCTCGACACATGTTTCAATCACCAAGTGATAATCTGTTTAAAATCTGTTTAAAAATTCTGTTTAAAATGTATTTTTCTGTTAACCAGCTGTCGCACCCCTACGAACGTCAACCCTCAGAAGACGAAACTTGTGCGAGCTGTGGATTAAAGAGGTCTTACCTTTTAACGTGTGATTCCTAACACGGGTTGGACAATAGCAAGTTAAAATCGATAGCTCAGCCTGGGGTTTGAACCACCGACCAACAAGGAAAAAGTAAAAAATGTTTATTAGTGTCGATAATGTAAGGATCAAAGATGATTGATGTAAGCTATGGATGTGCTGTGAAATACCAATAAAAAATTATGATACAAAAACAAAACTATGTGTTATTTTGTACATACTTTCCCTAATATTTCGACATTCTCCGAGAATGTTGCTTATTTTCAAGGATTGATGGAAACAATGAAATCATCTAGTACATGGACACATTATTCAATAATGAAATCGTTGGTAAATTCCAACCATAGTATAGAAATTTCTAAATATAAAAAGGAACAAGCTTTATTAAAGCGAAAGTCCGAAGGATGTGTTGGAAAAAATCAAAAATATTTTCAGCTGAACAAATAAAAACGTTTATCGATGAAGCACCCGAAAAAAAGTTTTTATTTATAAAAGTAAGGATTCACCTAACATTGCATTTTTTAAAATTTTGTCATGTGTTACATTTTCCATTTGACTCATGCATGATATATTTCATTAATTTCCAGAAAACTCAGTAAATTACCTTACCTTGTCGAAGCAGGGGCTAAGGCGCTAGATTTGAACTAGACTACATTATGAGACGCGGTTTCAAAGCTGACCTAAGTCATCTTGCTTTTTACTACATTTTTTTCTATTTTCTATCATTTATTGTTGTATTTTTAATTTTTTTTTCAGGTAGCAATGATTTTCGGAATAATGAGAGCATGTTGAAGTTATAAACTACATGACCTGAAATGTGAAAATGTCAAAGATATGAATAGAATCTTCACTATCAATATGGTAGAAACTAAAACAAAAGTACAACGAACATTTACAATTATCGGCAAATAACAAAAAATTAGTGAAAAATAGATCAACTCACGGCCGAAATTTTGCCCCACTCTTTCTTTTTTCGTTTAATGGGAAATTCGAAACATTGGTATTAATAAATTTGATGATTCAGGGAAGCAAATAGCAACATAATTGAATATGCAACCATATTAGTAGATGCCGATGTTGATAATACTGCATTGAAACGTCATGGTGGTTGGAAATTCAATTCAGTGGCGGAAGGCTACATTGAAAATTTGGTTCAGGATGAAATCAGTATTTCTAAACACAATATCAAACTCTATTGAGATAAATATTTCATCCACTTCCAGATCAGTGGGACCTGGAATAAACTTCTCAAGCTGCACAATAAATAATCTTGAAATTATCAAGAAATCAGATCAATTACAATACTCGCCTCTCATCAGTCTCGATTATTTTTTTATTCTTGAGATAAGATAATAATAACAAGATTTTAGCAATTGAAACTTGTGTGAGATCAAATTTTATGGTGAGATTGAATTATAGATTTTATCTGGAATATTTATTTTGTCAGTAAACTTATTCTTCATTTTGTGCTTGTCATTCATTAGAATTGTTCAAACGAATGCAATCCTGAAACAATATTCTGATATTTGATAGTATAAGGAAAAAAAATCATGGGATTAACTAATTGATATCCTTCACAAAGGTATTGCGAATCTGTAAGATACATTTTACAAACCAAACAAAATAATAAATAAACCTGTAAAAATATATTACATAATTTATTCTTCGATATGTAAAAATTCGACCTATTTTGCAAGCAGAATAATATATAGTATCTATTGAGATATAAGATGAATGAGGAATAGGACTACTATAGGTACTCAATAGATGGCCTTACAGCGGAATGTGTTGGAATCACCCGTCTGGGCGAGGTTTCACCCATGGAAGCATGAAATTAAGAGCCACCCAAATGATTCATCATTCAAAAGTTTAGGTACCCGTATTGAGCACTCTGAACTCATTCGGAACCTTCGAGATACCACTTGCCTTTTCGAAAGCCTCATATAATGGTGATGCGAACCTGCTTCTCTCAGCTACTCATAGGTTCCTTTATGGAACATGGAGTAACCATGAGTCTGTAGATGAGATGAATCCCGAATAAATGACTCATCGCCTCACATCACCAAATTCTTGACTACCAAAGGCAGAATCGGTACCAGGAAGGAAAACTAACTCCACCTGAGCAGGTGAACGCTGAATCTGATGTAGGTATTGTCATATTTAGCTGAAACAGATATCTTCAGATTGGGAGGATATGCAGTCATTGATGAGAAAATATTCCACATCGAACATCCGACCAACAACTGGAATCTTCTCAGTATGCTCTTCTGGTTGCCGTAGAGAATATTTTAGAAGAGGATCCACAAGTTCGATTCGAAAGCTGCACATTTAGGCCTGAATGGCTGCAGGTTACCTGAAAGGAGACTTACCCCAAGTTACATAGTTGCTTTGCTAACCTACCTGAAGAAGGTGGTCGCAGATTGATCACTGATCAAGTGCTCACTAGATTGCTGAAAATATACCAGAATCTGTCAACCTTGATGTAGATCGAGCGATGGAAACCGATGATGCGATGGAGAACTAAGAGCGATGAACGGTCTACGACGAGACAACACCATCCAGATCCTACCTGCACATGATAGAAACCCTACTGTTGCGATGGATGCCGATCTCTATAAAGAGAAGATCGAAGATGTTTGGTATCCTACTGCATTAGTTGAAAAAAAACTGCACCAGACTTTGAAAAAATACGGGAAAGGAGATATCATCGCTAACACTGCACCACAGTGAGCCCCCTCACCTGTACGGACTGCCCAAAATCCACAAAAAAGTGTTCCGCTCAGATCGATCATTAGTTCCAGGAATTCAGCTACTCAAAAATTGTCCAGATTTCTACTTCCAATTATACAACCACAACAAGAAATTTGTTTCAACAGAGAGAGCTATTCGAAGAGGAGGACCTGGAAGATAGAAAGAACTTACCTATAAAAGTAATCATAAACTTACTGAGCACGGAACTGCTATTTCCAACTGAAGTACGAAAGATGAAGGACTGCCAATAGAATCGCCACTCTCACCAGTTATAGCTAAAATATATATGGAGTGGTTTGAAACTCTAATCATTGAAGAAGCCTCGAGTCTAATTGAGATACGTTGACGACACCTTCATAGTATAGAACCACGGGGTCTTCGAAGACGAGGACCTGGAAGATAGAAAGAACTTACTTATATAATTAATCATGGACTCACTAGGATGTTGTGTACGTAATTGCTATTTCCAACTGAAGGACGAAACTCTGACTATTGAAGAAGCCTTGAGTCTGATTGAGATACCTTGATAACACCTTCATAGGGGATATAGAACTAGACACCTTCCTGAAGCACATCAACAGAGTAAATCATCACCTCCACAATGGAGAAGGAAATTCACAACGAATTTCCATTCTTGGACGTTTTGGTGAAGAGGACCAACACTAAGTGGGAAACATCTGTATACCGAAAATCCACTCACATGGAACAGAATCTGAATCACGAATCTAACCACTATCAATCTACCAAAAGAGGAATCATAAAGACTCTAGTGGATCGTGCTTTCGAACTCTGTAATACGCTTCAGATCCGGAAACACCATCCGTGGCAGTTTCGTGAAAACTAATTGCATTTACCGGATATCCGGTAAGTGCGGAAAGTCCTATATCGGTGAAACTAAGCGGCCAGTGAAAGTCCTCATTGCTTGACGCAAGAGGGACACAACACAAGTGGTCCCAAGCTGTCATCATCCACAGGGAGGAATACTGGTTTCAGAGAAAGTTCAAACAAGCTGCATATCTCTTGTCCAACGACGCATTCAATCAAGCTAACGTAGAGATACTCAAATTATGGAAACCTTTGATTAAGCGAAAAACGGTCAACTCCCGCTGAACCGGTGAAACGGAGAGAGAAAAGAGGTGATAGGTAAACGCGTTCGAATATTTGAGATATTTGTAAAAAATAACACCACTGTGGGTATATGTATTCAACTCAATTATTAATAACTTTCAAACCATTCATCATCAAACCGTAAATTTCGAATTGAATGACAACTCAATTATAGTTTTCGACGAAGGCGAACCTGAATTATGTGAAATTTCTTGTCTCATTGTAATGGCGATCGAGTTGAATCAAAACCCGATTTTTTTTTAATATCTACTTTCCGTCATGAACACTGAGTAACAAAAATTTTCGCATTCACGAAGAATACTGAAGAACGTTATAAATGTGAAAGTTTTTCATTCCTTTCATATTGATGGAAAGTGATAAAACTGAAAGGTTTTTTGTCAGGTTGCATCAGCCAATACTTCCAACATAACTACCCTGTATTTACCCAAAACAATACAGTTTAGAATTTAGATCACTGATTACCTATCAACCAAAACAATACAGTTTAGAATTTAGATCACTGATTACCTATCAACACTGCCAAAAATATCTGTCGATTAGAAAATATTCCACAGTATGCTTATCAATTAGCCTATCTGATAACTCTTCAGCTATATAACAATTCGATTCCTTATTATCCATTCCAGTTTATTGTTTCATATTTCACAATTCAATTCTCCACAGGGGGAAAAAAACTTAATAACTTCAAAATATATTGGATTCATTTTTGAAATGTTACAGTGTAATATTAGCACCTTTGTCAATTGATGACCAAAAGTGAAGATTTGATTTTTATCAATAATCTCATTCCTCTACCACAGCGGTTTCTTGAAAGAAATGATTTTCACCCATTCCGAAATAGATAGAGAAAAAACATGGCCTCAAGTTCTGGCAATAATTGTATGTAAGTATCCACAGCTGTTTACTTTTTATCCACTGAAGTATTCTTCTGAAAAAATTCACCGAAAATTATGTAATTCATCTTACTTGGTTTTGTATACTTATATTGGACTAGTAAATTAGTTGTTCTTCTGCTCAAACTGAACTGTTATTCAATTCTCTTCCTGAACAAAAAATCCATTCGGTTCTTATATTTCTGAAGATTAAGGGTTATGTAACAGATGATGTCAATTTTTGAAGAAACACTATTTACTATTGTGGTAACCCCGCTCTGCTACCAAATTATGTTATTGAAACTAAAGTTTGAACCGCTTACGTTGTTCTATTAAGAAACTGGGCTGCTTATAGTTTCAAAAACTGATTTTTATTTCGTAAATGTTGTACAATTCTAAATTATTTGTTTGACAATTACGTGACGTTTTTCAATTATTTCAATAAACATTGGCGCAACAGAAAAACATTAAAAAAAGGAACAAAATAAATATTAATTTCTTCAGATTCTCAAACAAACAAACAAATCACAGAATCTAAATTACTTCAGGCCATAGAAATCCATTGAATCATTGTCTTTGAAAGCAAAAATTTCATTTTCCAGTTGCTGAAAATATGTTACTGGTGTCTATACGCTGTGAAATGGTTGAGAGTTGGTATCTCGAATAATCTTCAAAAGTATACTAGTATTCTAACGAATATACAGCCCTAAATCCACAGGATCTGGGTAATTTTCATCAGTGGAGGTCGAAACATCACTGTCTTATATTACTCATCATTCATTATCAAACTTTCTTCGACGTTGGTGTATTATCATTTGAGTTTTTCAGCATAGAATTGAGTAATATATTATGAGGAAGTTTCGACATGTCACTATCAATGAAAATTGAGTATTTCATCATTAAAAATGTAAAGCCAACTTGAATTACTATAGTGAACCAATTTACATAATTATAATTTTCGAATAATAATCAGAACAAACTCTATGAGAACGTCTTTGCCAAAAATTTAAAGTGAATAAAGAATCCCAGAATATATAAAAGAAATCTGAATAGATAAAATAGAAAAACAAAATATTACCATGTTTATAAAAGTACTTTTTTCATTATCCATCTTTTTCTTCATTCAAAAGTGTCAAAAATATATATGATCCTTCAAAACACCACGGTATGAAATTACTGTAGATTACTTACCATGGTATTGACCTAATTTCCACTGTCTGGTTTCCAGCTGACAATGAAAGCTGCAGAAAGAAATAGAAAACAATTTCCTCAAAGGCTCGTTGTTGAAACCCTGGATAATCGTTGATATTCTTGATTTAAATTTTTCCTTCAGATTGCATCTACTGAGGGGTTAGGTTAGGTTAGGTCCAAAGTGAGTGGGTCTATTCGACCCTCCATCGCAACCCGCAAAGGTTTATTGTGGCTCACACCTATGCACACTCGATCAAATGAACCAGCTTCTTAACGAAGCCGATTAGTTTGTATGGTGAGTGGTATTTCAAGTCAGATGGCAAGAGTACGGCTCTGCCGAACTCTAATAACCTGATTCAGTCCCCAGCGGGGCATGTACAAAGTATGTGATCTGCTGTTTCATCATTTTCCAAACAAAGGCGACACACACTGTGACAGTCCGAGTCTCTGCATATGATGATTCAAATGACAATGACCTGTGAGAAGGTCTGTTAGACATCGTAGTTCATCCCTACTGTAGTCCAACAACTGTTTGGTATCAAGCTTTGAAGGGTAAATGAACGCATTGGAGTGAGCCAATCCTTGTAAGATTCTGCCAGAAGTCCATAAATCTTCTTGCCATACAGGTGTTCAATCTTTGTTTTGCTAAACCTAATCGATGCCAATGACAGATTCTGGTCCGATCAAGCTGCTTGCATCTAGTGAGGGAAGTCGTAAAAACTATTTTCCGTCAGAATATCTGTTTCTAATGATTTTATAATCATAATAATTTCATTTGAGGGATTCAACTCACGAGAAAATGTTGTGTCTAGTATTTTTTCAATCATTAATACTAGTCTGGAACCAGAAACTAATTTATGTTTTTTTTCAGCATCAATTTTGGCAATTCCATTCGGAATGCTCTTCTCCTGGACTTCTCCTTTCATGGTTAAAATCACCAAAGATAAAATCAACTATAACATAACGGAAGGTGAGGCATCTGTATTTACCTTCATACCTCCCATTTTGATGATCTCCATGAGCCCTGTATTTTCCATATTATGCGATATTATCGGGAGAAAACGGACTCTGATTCTGATTGCTCTGCCACAAATCATAGCCTGGTTGCTGACTATAGCTTCTAACAATGTTTGGGTTCTATATTTATCTAGAGTATTTTCTGGTATTGGAGATGGGGGAATTTTGTCGGCTCTTCCAATGTACGTAGGAGAAATAGCTGTTCCCAAAATCAGGGGTACTTGGGGTAACATAATCAACGTGTTCATTTATTTTGGAATATTTTTGATAAATGTTATTGGAGCTTACTGTGATGTAAAACAAACTGCCTATATAAGTATTGGACTACCAATTTTCTACATCGCCATTATGTGTTTCATGCCAGAATCACCTTATTACTTTGTGAAGAAAAATGATGAGGAGAATGCGAAAAAATCTCTGAGATGGTTGAGGGGTAAAACAGATGTGGATGAGATTTACAAAAAGCTCAAGTCTGACATTGAAAGACAGATGTCAGAAGCAGGTACTTGGAAAGATCTTGTAGCGGTGAAAAGCAATCAAAGAGCTCTTGCAGCTGGTATCTTCCTCAGAGTGTCACAACAACTTGGAGGTTCAGCAGCGTTTAATGTCTACACTAAATTCATATTCGAAAAGTCTGGCACAAACATTTCCTCGAGTGTAGCCAGCATGATCTATACCGGATTGTGTTTTTCACTTTTATTCGTGACAGGGTTCATTATAGAACAGTTTGGAAGAAAAAAATCCTACATGGGTGCATTATCAACGTGTGGAATAGTTCTGTTGTCACAAGCAATATATCAGTTCATAGATCAGCACGTGCCCAGCATCGACGTTTCCTCAATAAAATGGTTTCCGGTAGCAGGAATGATCCTCTACGTCTTCTTCTGCTCCTTTGGTATACTGAATATACCTACTTTGATGTCTGGAGAACTGTTTTCAACTTCCATCAAAGCGAAGGGCATGAGTGTTTTAACTATCACATTTGGAGTGATGATTTTCGTGGCCAACAACATATTTTATTTACTCAACACTCACGTAGGATTGTATTGCCCCTTCTTATTTTTTGGTATCTGTAATATCATTTCTACTTTTTTGTGCATTTATATAATTCCAGAAACCAAAGGAAGGACCTTGGAAGAGATTCAGCAAGAGCTGAGATCTGGCAAACCTTCAAAAAGATCAAATAAAAATTCAGCGTGATGTGTAATGCATGATCAATGAACATGCATGATCAATGAATATGCATGATATATCTCCAAAGGATACTTCATAGATATCCAATAAATAATGTAGTATATCAATCAGAACGACAATTATATCCATGAGTTTTCTCGCTACAATACAGTTGTTTTAAATACTATAGAATCGATGAGACAACTGAAATATTTCTTCTCGTTTGTTAGTGACAGAATCATTTTTTCTACAGTGAAATAAATATTTTTATTTCTAATGAACATAGATGTATGAGTAAGGAATGCTATGTAGGAAATTCATGAAATAATATTGACGTAGTTTCATTACCGATGTTTCTTTTCCTTGGACTATATGCTTTTTTATATTATTCGATGAAAACGATGTGTTAACGAGTTATGAAAGTCTTAATTTATTGTACGATTGTTGATTGTTGATATTTTTACTTTTAGTTGATTGTCCTTGTAATTAATTAAAAAAACATATGAAAAGAGAAATCAAAATTTCTGTTTTTATCACTTTTATTTGTAACTAACGTTAATGCAGGTTTCGTCCTATATGGTCATTCTTAAACAAAAGTTTATTGTATGAGTTTGAAAATGATCATGACGAAACTGCAGTAACGCTAATTACAAATAAAAGTGGTAAAACACATAGAAATTTTCATTTCTCTTTTCATTATGATTTCCTACCACGTAGTAAGGGCTACACCCATCAATTTATTAGAAAACAAATGATATTATAGATTGCTGAAGATATTCAGCTCATCGGGAAAAAATTTGACTGACGTGCTTAGAAAATATGAATAAGGATTTGGCTCTACTGAATTGATAGGTTTCCTTAAATTGGACTACATGTACTTATGTCTCATATCCAACATTTTGTTATAAACTGGCGAAAAAACATTATACTCTGTGATTAATGCGAATTTGTTGCTGAACTAATGCCTAAATGTACGGCCAGAAAAACTTTCTGCATCTACAAACTGTAATGGTTTGATAATTTAGATGATACAATTGAAAAGTTCAATCCAATTTTCACCATTTTTTAATTGACAATTATATGTCTGTAATTTATGAGAGTGTTTGTATGTGTGAATATGTATATATTTTATACGTAGATTACTTTGTAGATCATTTTATTTAATGACTGTTTCTATCGCCTAACGTTTTCCTTGTCACTGTACATATGTTTCATTTCTAACTTTGTACTTTTTATCAGATAATAAAAAAATTGTGGCATTATCATTATTATTATTATCATTGTTATGCGATATGGAAGACCACTGTTCATTTTCACCTATTTCCTAGATTTGAATACCATTAAATAAACGTATTCAAAAAACACTCTATTGTGAGGATTCCACTATACAGTTTTACAAAATCGCAAATTCAAACTTGAATTTGCGTTTTTGTAAAACAAATTATTGGCATTTCCAGAGAGAAGAATAAGCGTTGTAATTAAACTATCCTTCAGGCACCCATTTCAAATCCTGTTTTTTCGAATCCATATTTTTTTAAGGACAAAACATGAGCACTACAATTCTCCAAATGGAAGAGTTCGGAAACAGTGAAGTTCGAGGTGTACTGAGTTGAACCTCAAAACGATGAGCAGCCACATTCCATCGCATATTTCTGATATGTGCCGCTATTAGTGTAATCAAATGTGCCAAGTCACTTGAACATTTCCCGTGAAAAAAGAGAGACAAATCCCCATCCCTTCTTCGATATTCCAGTCTATGAAGGTTGCAAGTGATGTTCCGTCTCCAATCAGGAAAATGGCTCTTTTCTGGATGGAATCCAGCATTTTCAGGGTATGCTTAGGGGCGGGGCTTCATACATGTCTGATTTAAGCTTTATAAAGCATCAAACGTTACTGAGGTGTGTACAGTTTTCTGGTTCGGAACAGTTTTCCAAGCTTTTGAGAAGCAACCTTTCAATTCCAGCGACATGACTGGGCCAAGACATATTGCCGAAGCAAAAAACGGAATCGCCTGTCCTGACATCATTATATCCGGTTCGGAAAAAATCGATGCCTGAGTTTTGAACCTGATTAGTTTCACCTCAATTCGAAATCACTTCTAGATCCTCATTAAGATATGCAATCTCCTGCTGCCGATGAAGATGTGCATAAAAATAATTCGCTGTTTCTCATATGAAGTTTGAAATGAGTCTATATGTTTATTTTATTGGAATATGTATATTTCAGTTTTCATATTTCTCATATTTATTACATTATTATAATAGTTCATTTCCGACACAAAAAATTTTTATCGAAACACAAAAATAGAGACTTATTTATGAATTTTGATGTATGGATAATAATCAAAACAGAGAGGCGATTCAAGATTCATAGAACTTTTACATAGTTTGAAGATTGAAAGGATCATTGCTATTCTCAAATGAATATAATGAATAATATATCATATTATATGCAACTAAAACTATATATCAAAGAATAAAGTAATATAAATCATGAAATTATCAAAACAACAAAAATTTATTGGTGCTCCGCTGTAGGAAAACCAGGAGAAACCTGCAGCACCACATCATCTGAAGATGTTGATCTGCCAATGTCCTCTCTTATATAAACAAAATGTAGGGTATCTCCAGAGGCTCCCATAAATTCAAGACATCGCCAGAATACTTAGTGACAGGACTATCGTCAAACCTAAACCAGTCCGTTTCGTCTTTGACCAACGACAGAACCATAGTGAACAATGACTGCATGAAGATTATAATAGTGCCCTGCTAGATTGAAGTGTTCATCATTTATTTCGTAAGAGTTTGGTGCTTCCGTCAAAAGTTGAGTCATGTTTGAAGATCATCAGTGCTAATATTAGATTGACTGGAGCCTCAGCTATACTTGTTTGCTTATAATAGTCAGTAAGTTTGGGGCATGTTTGGCAATACAGTTGATCATCATCTTTCAAAAGTTCCATTTTCAGATGATTTAATAACAAGCTTCGCACTGACTGGTTATCAGCCATATTAGAAAACGCTAGTTGGAGTTCCAGAAAATCATATTTACTTACCTTTCGAACATTTACTATAAAGTAAATAAGTGAGAATTTCAACAGCAAAAGATCTAAAAACACAAGACGAGATAGACTGTCTGCTATTTTTTTTTCTCACGAAACAAAATGTTATGATCGATGCCTCTCGTCGGGTATTGTCCATCAACTTTTCAACATAAGTATTTTAGGAACTTCCTCTGCACGCTTTCAATTGATGTTTCTTGGTAGTCGTAAACTGGATTCCATAACACAGAGCCATACTCTAACTTATATCTGACATACGCAAAATATAGTTTTTACCATTCCTGTAAATGAATCCAAGCATTCTATTTGCATTAACAGTCTTATTCCTCATATGTGTTGTAAATGTTAATCTACTGTCATATGTTATACCAAGATCTTTTATCTCCTGTACGCCGTTGATTGTAGTGTTGGTGATTGAATAATCGTACATTAAAGTTCGCTTTTTTGTTTTGAATGATATTATGTTACATTTGGAAACGTTCAGTTGTAGACGAGTATCGTTACACCAAAGTTTGATTACATCTAATTAATATTGTACACGTTGGCAGTCAGTAATGTCGTCGATTTTTTAATATAGTTTCAGGTCGTCTGCAAAAAGTAGGATGGGAATATTCAAAGAGGTTGCCAAATCATTAATAAAAATTAAAAAAGAAAGAGGTCCGCGATTAGAACCTTGTGGTACCCCAAACGTAACTACGTATTGAGCCGATTTGAAAGATTCATATCCGATGAATTGTTTTCTGTTAACTAAATATGATTCGATTAGAGTAAGCAGTTGGTTAGAGAGTCCCAATTTTGTGAATTTGCTGTGAAGTACATTGATCGAAGGCTTTTTGAAAGTCTAAATGAACATCGACTTGTTTTTGCTTGTCCAATTACGTACAGATATATTGATTCAAACATGCAAGAGTTGTCATACATGATCTTTGTTGTACGAAACCATGCTGAGTAGAAGAAATAACTTTTTGAATATGGGAGCACATAACATTTTGCACACATATTTCGAAGAGTTTAGAAAATTTACATAAAAATGAAATTGCCCTGTAGTTTGTGATATCGCTAGAGTCACCTTTTTCTAATATCGAAAAATCTGAGCCCTTTTCTACTGCCCAGGGAAAGCAGGAGTTCTTAAAATTAAGTTGAATATGCCTATTTAGAGGTATAGACAGAATGTCGATACAGTCCTTTATCACAAGACTAAGAACATTGTCAACGCCTGCGGCATGTTTAATGTATCTAAATCAGAATCATGAAAATTTTCACGAATCATATTCTCCTCGGAAACCAAGTATACACTTCTGAAGTACTCTGCGAATCCGTTACAATAATCACCGATTATATAGACGAAAGAAAAATTGAACAGTTTGACAATTCACTTTCTCAAAAAGAGATATCTTCAGCGGTTAATGAAATTGCATTCCACAAAAGACTGTTTATATATCACTGGTACCGGAAATCCCATCATTCATGTAATAAGTGCGTCATTTAGTCTTTTATATTCCAAGAGACATCGCCAAGGCTATGCGAAGCTCGAAATAAATTATATTAGAATATCCATGGAAGATGAGTTCGAGAAATGAAGCCGGAGGCGTTTTTGTTGGGTATCCCAAGCTTGATTAAGAATAATTGGTTGATCTCTAGAATTATTGAGTGATCAAAATTCAGTCAGGATGAATGAAAGAATGAGGTAGCGGCAGTATTGCCACAAGCTATCTTTTCATCGAGGTAGATTTTTGAAAGGGAGAGGGGTAGAACCGGGGTGGATCCACATTCACTTGATGACCAATTACAGTGATGCATTGATGTATACCTATGATTGTCGTTCTTTGTTCTATGATCAATTTGACGATCATAATCAAAAACATAAGTCACATGTCATCGAATCCAAATTTGGGATCAATGTGTTTCCAAACCATTCCTCGAAAATATTAGCTTCCATGGTCTTATGATAGTCAACATTGCAGTCCTCAAGTTTTTTTCCATATCACTTCAAAGAATTCGGACCCATCTTTTACTTCCTCCGCAATGAACAATGATTAATCGCGATCCTTTGTTTGCAGGCTTGTTAGGTGTACACATTTTCGAATCTTCACTCCACCCTTTCGTAACTGTGTCGTGAGTGTTATACCAAGTTTCGTCCAAAAAGAAAATTGGCCGTTGTTCTTGCCTATATTTAGTTATTTGTTTTGGGTATTTGTTACGCAATTCCGCTATTCTTCTGCTTCCCATAACTGTTTGACGTTTGTTTGTTTATTTTAAATCTGAATCCTAGTTTCTTTATCCAATT